GTCATTGTTGTTTGGCGGGTCTGGGCTGGATTTGAACCCACCAGTTCAGGTGTATGTGGCTGGCGCCTTAGCCAGTTGAGCCATAGGCGCCGAGCCAGTTCTTATTAAATGTAGTCAGTGTTCATCAGCCTGACAGTTGCTTTTGTGTTGTCACATTGATAAAATCTTACCCAGGATACTGAGTTAGGTGGAGTCCCCACACCTAGTGGTAGATAACAGACCTTTAGTAATACTTCATGGCTTCTAAGAGAATGCTGCTCAGGCTATTTTATTAGGGCAACAGAATGGGTTAAGTTTGAATGCTTGGCAATATGCCTGCTTGGGGAGCTAGAGCAGGTTTTAAACATATCTGAAATAAGTTTTATAAAATAACTGACTATGGTGTTCTTGTGGGGATGGGTAGTTGCCAGTAGGGCAGAGTTGCAGAGACAGTCCTTCCACTTGTAGATAGATGTGTACCCAAGTGGTCACACCTAGCAGAAAACAGGACCACAGATTTCTCAGCTCTGGCTACCCGGAAGGCCAGCCCCCAGCTAAGTGTCTCTAGGGAGGGCAGAGTGGGCTGCGGTTGAGCAAAGCAGGTGGGCTCTGGTGTGTGTGTTGTGTTGTGTTGTTGTCTGCCTGCAGGTGGGAAGCCCCTTAATTGGGTGTGATGAATAGCTGAGAAGAGGTGTTGGTTGTACAGGCCCTTGCTCCTTTATTTCAGGCTGACATTAAAGAAGTGCCTCATTGTTAACCAGTTTGATGAAAATATTTCAAATTGTATATGAAAACACTACACTGTACCACATATTTGCATTAATGTACGCAGTTATCATTTAAGAAAAAAGAAAGAAAAGGGAAAAAAAAGATTGGCAACAGAACACTGTGTACACAGTATTAAAAAAAAAAACGAAGTGCCTCATGAAAGTGGTTAAGTAGAGGATCCACAGCCTGGTACATGGAGTCGCTGAGTACCTAGGAGAAAAAGACGATACCGTGAATGCAGATGAAGGTGCAATAGTCTCTGCCCCTGAAGTTTTACCAAAACTAAAGTTGCAGACAACCGAGGAAAAAAAACTTTGAAATCATTCTTTCCTCAACTATTACAGTATTTTCTTCCTCTTTTTTTTCTTCTACCACTTCTTCCTCCCCCCACGCCCATCCTCTCTTATTACCCTCACCCTTCCCCCTCCCCAGCCCCCTCCCCTGCTTCCTTCCTCTTCTGTCTTTTCTATCCTTCCATCTAGAAGCCACACGTGTGGGTGCAGGCAGTGGTAACAGGTGCAGAGTGGGCAGTTTGCAGTCTTTCATTGATTTTTAAAGGCGGGGCAGTGGATCTAGAGAGAAAGAGAGCAGATGACTCTCCTGGAGGTCATTCCTCATAGAACCAGCTTGAGAATGGAGTCCACTCATAAACCTAGGTGTTTTCTAGGAAGAAGTTTGAACCTCCTTTGGCCCCGCCCATCAATCCTGGAGTGGCATGATCAGGTGCTAGCCATCAATAGTTTGGCATTTTAGGCTCGGCGTCTGTGGCTCAA